ACAGGAAGACCGGAAGATTTACAAATTGGCGAAGATTATGGACTCAAGCTAGCAGAACAACTGAAACTTGTACACGATGAGGTCAGAACAAAATTAAAGATCGAATCTGATCGAATGAGGAGCCGATATGACGCCAGACCGAATCAAGTCGGATTTAGCAAAGGTGAACGAGTTTGGTTTTTCAATCCCCGACGGACAAAAGGCCGTTGTCTAAAGCTTCAAAACTCCTGGGAGGAATCCTCCCTATACGATACTCACCAGACTCAACGATGTCACAAATCGGGTCCAGAAGAGCCCTCAGGCAAAATTTAAAGTTGTCCACATTCACCGTTTGGCCAGATATAACGACTTTTTCCTCGGTAATTTTAAATCGATTACGATATTGTCTCGAAGGTTTCCATATTGTAAGCGAAGTTGTGTCCTGTGGATGTGAAAAAAATGCTTAAAAAATCAAACAGTAAGTGCATTTAATAGTACCTTTCTTCATTTTCGATAATTTCTTCTCTCACAACTTCTATAACAATATCATAAAACACCAAATTTAATACAAATTCAACTTGTACTGAAACAACGTCTTTAAAACACACTTATATCTGATATTAATTTGTCAACAACTTGTCCGCTTACACTTACCGGCTACTTTTAGGCTACCCTTTAAAATAAGCGGCTTTACCAATATTTATAACGGAATTAGGTTATATGTAACAGACAATCGAGTTCCAGAAAATTAAGCGGCCGTAAACTTTATAACGTGCGTTAACTTTTAACGGAATAGTTTCAGAATAGGGCCCTTATAACTCATTAACTGAACTCAACCCAGGCATACACAGCAATCATTTGAAATAAAAAATTGGACTTTGGAGTCAGAAAGATCACCACAAAGAGCTGTTGGCACCAAATATATTTACCTCATAATGGCGGATAGGCTAAGCTTTGGTCCTGTTGTACGCCACCGTGTTTTATACAGCCACTATTGTTGATCTATTCTTGATATTCTTGATCTATTCTTGATATTGAGAGAACGGAGTTTCCCCGGGAGCCCCCAAGAAATCTCTGCTTGCTCAACATCCTCAGCGGAAAAAAACGTATTCTTGAATAATAGGAACGCCAGTGCACATGCAGTCCATGCAAACATTGTTCCACACTGATTATGTGGCAAATTAAAATGGAGATAATTTTGACAGTCCGACAGACTGGCCAACCAATGGCCATCGATATGCTACATAACCCCAAGCAAAGTCGAGGTCATAAAAGATGCTCAAACTTTTGCAAAAAACGGAATTATTATGCTCAAATGAACTCAAATTTAAAAAGTTTGTCATTTTTTTGCCTTCATTTATGGACCCTTCAGGAAAAATGTTCACTGAAAGTGCTTAATTTTCACTAAAAGTGCTCCTCCTAGAGAACCTCAAACGACACCATCACCGAGATTTATTATGCATATTAGCGACAATTTTGCATGTGGAGTAACGAATTGTTGTTACCTAAAACACGATTTAACAGCAAATGCCACCGGACTAATTTTGACGTCACGGCTCGTCCCATTGAGTTGTCTTGGAGGTGTGTTCTACTCGCTTATTGAAGTTTGACGTGAGTGACTGTTGACGCTTGACGTACTAGAGAGTGATGTGTCGTGCGTTGTGGAATATGTGTATTGCCGATTGCCTAAAATCAGTGAGAAAATTCACCTGCCCTCTGGTTTAGATGAGGTGAGTGACAGAACTGACAGAATCAAGAGTTTGGTGATCTGTTATTATAATTTGGCTTCTCACCGATTTTAGGCAATCAGCTATATACAAATGTCCTGTTGGTACAAATGCATCTATGACGAAAACAGTTAATCCTGACGGTAAAATCTGACCTCTTAGCTCTTAAATATGATGAGTAAGAAAAATTGACCGTTTTAAACGCTTAACCGAAAACATTAAATTAGAAACCAAAGCTGCAAACAATTAGAGAGTTATTAAGAGCTCAATAAGGACATGCAGTAATAAAGTTTGCTGTATTTTGACACATACGTCTGCGCAATTGAGTATAAAAAGAAAAGATCCCTAAGAATAGTGTTCTGTGCTATTTGTGCAGCAATACTGTCCGCGTTATTTCTACCTTAAACTGGCAGTTGACATTTCTAACGTCCGCTTGCAGATTAAGTCCACAGATTAACCTCTGTGAAAATAATAATAATAATAATCCTTTATTTCAAATCATGGACAAACACAAAATGAAATGACGTCAAAAGGGGCACACATCGGGACAAAACTCTCTTAAACTATAGGGTTCCAAACCTATTACCATATTTTTAATTTCCGTTTTGAACAATTTTTGGGAGGAAATTTCTTCTGGCTGGGAGACAATTAAACAATTTTATACACATATACTGGGGTCACATTTCCGTGAGCGATAGCTTTCACAGCAAGTTTCACTAAAATACGTCGTACCATTCTTCCGATATTTCGAAAAAGATATTTTTTTTGAACAACTTTAACCATCAATAGCAGAGGAGCCAGACAGTTTTTGTTAATAAAAGTTAAATCAGATCGTCTTCTTTTGATGCAAAGAATATCGCAGTATCCTTTTGATCAGAGATAGTTTTTGTACAACATATTTTAATTGTAAATTGGTGTTCGTAGTTTGTATGAATTTTAACTCTGATGATGGCGCTGTCGTCTCGACGAAACGTTATGAAATAAATGATGTACACATTTTTATTTCACACGTTGAAACCCAGGAAGGAAAAGAATATGATAACAGATACACGCAGTCTGGAAAATAAATCAAAATTAAACTTATTACTGCATATCCAATAACTCTCTAGTGTTAGATAAATAAAACAGTACTTACTTAAAATGTGATCGATTCTAGTTTTTTTAAGACTTTTCTGCCAGGGTCCTTACTGTTACTTACAGAGTTGCTATGTAAACAGTAATATAATTTAATCGTTGCGACGAATCATGTGCGTTATTTTCAAATAATTGAGTTTGTTTTCTATCAGTAAAATTTTGTAAGCCCAATTAAAATATAGAAAAAGTACGAGTCAACAATTTTACACAATAACTCATTAAAAGAGCAAATAGTCTGAGATTTTTAAAATTGTTTTGTATTATTATTAAATAAATTTTGTCTACTTTTACGACCTATATGCAAGACTTGCGAGACTTTTGCTGCAAGGCCAAGACCAACACTGCTGAAGATTGAGACTGATCATCACTAATCACATAGAGAACCTTGTCGTTTCCTCGTAACGTATTTGTAAATTTAATGTACCTGTTTGTAATGTTTTACCATCCGTTTGCCATCTGGAATGTTTCTTTGTAGTTTGTCCATTATAATTATTACATATAATTTGTGCTGTGCATACGTTTTGGTGTGGGTGCATGGTTTTAGGTGAACGTATATTACTGCCACTTCAATTCTATTTGAAAACATTCATTAAAATTTATACATCAATAACAATAGTTTCTTTTCGAAAGCGATATACCCTAACAAATTCGTGGTCTGCATAGAACCGGTAAAGATTTTGCATATTTCTAATATAACGCTTTTGTACACGAGCGTTCATTTCATCAGCAACATAATCAATAGATTCTTCGAAGTGCTTCATATTCACAGTACTCGTTCAATTAACAAATAGGTAGGTTAAAAAGCAAGCAAAACAATGCTCTTGTTATAAAATCAGTTACAACAACCAACCTATTTTTTTCCATCGTACCAGGTGCTTCCATTTGAAAAAAATGACGTTGGTGGTGGTAGCTTATTTTCGGACCACTTGGTTATAATAAATTAAGGATAAAAATTGTCGGCGCGGAACTTTTACCCAAAATAGAGTCGACTAAATTTTAAATGAATTAGACATGACTTCTGCGACTCGCCGCACAACAACCAGAGATCAAGGTCTTGTCCACACTGTACCTTAATGTTATGTAGACAATCAGTAAAGAACGCATCCACCTTTCTGGATGATAAATATTTTTCTCTCGTAATTCATTCTACAAAGTGGTCCACTCTTAAGGTCTCGTAATCAATAACATCTGCCTAGTCCTTCTTGTACGGAATCTAAAATATGATTAAGGGATAAATCGGATGTCATAAATCATCAACACAATTGAAATAAGCAGTTTAAAGAACTAATTGAGACGATGAAGATCTTAGAACCAGCTGAATGAGGCGGGGACAGATTCCAAGATTTGCTCCATCCCAATTCAATAACGCTGTAAAAGAAGTGACCCATTTTTCGGATCAGTATGATAATAATTAGTTTTATGCAGAACTAATATGGAAGCTAACATTGACAACCAGCCGAGAACTACCAATGGCAAGCGACCAAGTTCATACAGAAAAAAAATCGTAACATTGGTAAAATGTCACACAATGAGGTTTTTGTTTGAGGTCTTCTGCCCGGACTCATCTAAGGCGGTGTGCTTTTCTTCTCACAACCGTTTAGTGACCAACAAATTTAATGAGGTAAGTGTGCAGTTCACTTATGATTTGATTGCAATGGAGCACTCGTGTTTGCTGAAACGATGCCAGAATGTTTATCGCCCAAATGTTCGAAGACATCCAAAGGATTCGAAGGGCATTTTTCAAACCTCCCATAATGAACGTTCCTGGCCTAAAGCAAAACTCTGATTTGGACCAGTGCTATTAAGGTTTTTGACAATTTACCCGTTACCCGGACCTGAAAAAACGAATAAGAAGGGCATAAAAACGACAATACCTTTGAGAAAAAGTCTTCCATTTCTTCCTTTCCTTAGCACTGAATACGGGTCTGGAACCAGTACTGGTTTCAGATTCGTCTCAAAACAGAAACTCTGATTGGCTCGAATCGTCAAAATCGAACAATTCCAATATTTTCGAGCAACGTTCACTGTTTAAAAAAGTGTCGACGAACATTTAAAAAACATGGATCTTCTAATCAACATATTGAAGATGAGATGCAGCTCTGGCATTTATTAAACTCTGCCTATCGGAAAAACCTGAAAGAAAGAAATAAAAGGAAAAAGTTACCAAAAGACAGATGATTTGAACTAACCTTTCGAGGACATGATGTAGATTGGTCCGGCGATGAAACAGCATTTGGAAGGAAATAGTTCAGACAGATAATCCAATCATCATCAACAGCAACACCAGCAACCAATCTTCAGCTCCGACTGGGACAGACTTCAGCGGACCACCATAACGATTTCGCTGTGACCGTGAGAGAGTGAGACCTCCTGTGGAAGGAGATCTGTGGAAGTGATTAATTTTTATTTTGGGGGGAATATTTTATTGGGAAAAAGTTTCATTGAAAGTTCTGCTTGGATCAAAACTTCATGAAAAAAAGATTTAGTGAAATTAATTTGCAAAAATGGAACTTTGGAGAAAATATTTGGAATATATTCTAGTGACGTGTAGGAAAATGGTTTCCAATTTGGCAAAATCTTGCCGCAGATCAAAGTCCTCTTTAAGAGTTTCAGTCTCGGCGAAGGCCGTTTAATTGAATGAATTTGCGAGCCATTTCAAAGAGACGATTAAAAAGGTTCTTACTTCCTACAGTTTCATCCCTTCCACATCCGCCACCAAATAAACGCTGGCAAAGTTTCTGAGCAAACTAAAGAAGTGTTTCATCAGGCCAAATATTAATTTTCATTCACTTGAAGTAAATAAGCAGTAATCTTTGTTTTTTAAACCAATAATTTGCATGCGAATTTTGATCTGTTGAATATGATTCACTCATATTAGTCTATGTTTTTATTTCCAGGGACATTTTACATTTAGAAATAGCTAAGTAGATATGAAAATCGGTTGGTTTTGGTTACGATACGAATCTTACAGGGCACTTCCTAGTAATAAAGCAGGAAAAATTCAGAAAATTTCCGAATTGAAGCAGCAGTTTTTCTTTCTATTCAAATTTTAGTAAGCAAACGTCCACCAAAATTTAGTCCACGAAGTCGGGAAATTACACTGTTAATACTTGCTTGTGATAAAAGCCCCACATTAGCGGTGGGAATTGTCTGTCACTTCCGAGTTTATTTGCAGGTTTCAAATTCCAAAATACCAAATCAAAGAGAAACGAAACAGCCTTAAGGTGCATTTTGAATTTTTGAAATTGAGCCAGCCAGAAATAAGAGATATGTGCGTGCGCTCTTTGCTTTCTTAGCAAAATGGCTTTGGAAAGTTCTTGTCGTTCTTTCGTCTCTACAAGCCTTGTGTGATCACACTATGCCCTAAGATTTGCAAATCTGATCCAAAAAGGGCACTAACATTTTTTCAATCATAACTCCGAGGTTTTAAACGGATTTTAATGGACAAAAAGCTAAATGGTAGAGAGAAGAATCGTCTTTCTGATCAATCCTTAATGATAGACATCAGCCTAAAAATACGAGGGTTTCACATTTTTGGCTGCGTTTATACGTTTCAGCTTTTCTTACCGATTTCGGCGCGATAAACGCCAAAAGCTGCACAATTTAATTATCTTTGAAATTGCTTGATGTATTTAGCGAACTGTTTGTAAGCAACATTTTCAACACTCTTTCTGCTAAAGTGTTGTGCTGTTTTTTTAAATTATTATTTGTGTCCACTGTTGAATCGGCTTTTTGAAACAGTTCTGTGGGGTCTTCAGAAGTGTGGATAAAATAAACGAACATACACAGTGTCCCCCATGGAAACACATGATTAAAAAAATACTCGACAATAGTTGGTTAAAAAAAATCGAATCTTATAAAAAAAAATGTGACTATTGATGATAAAAATTCTCCAAAAAAATTATGCTTTTTCGAATACCGCGAAAATAATACGATGACTTTCTATGTAAATTTGTTTCTATGCAAAACTCATAGTTAGATTGAGTGTCTTGGTACAAAAACTAGTGAAACTTTGCATTTTGGTGCTTGACTGAATATTTTTAAATAATACAATATTAAAACACTAAAATAGACTAGATATTAAAAATATGAAAAATCCGAAAGACCCGTCAGTTTCATTTGTAATTATGTCATTGGGTCTCCTTATAGTACAAATGATTAGAATGTTCGGTTACACCGTTAAAACCGTTGAATAACAGGAGAAAAATCTAGTTTAATTTAGTTGATTGTTTTACTTTATGAAAAATAACTCTTTTTACGGAGAAAAATACGATCTTAAAGAGAAATTTCTACAATAAAATCCATGGGATCTGCTTACGCATAATCGCAACGTATAATATAAGTTGGTGAAAATGTTGTCTATTTTCCTAAAAACAATAAGAAGGTCTCTTTTCGAACTCTCCCTAACATTGATAAGATATTCCCGGATAGAACGATTGGCAGTAGGGAACCAATTGAATGGCCTCCAAGATCACCGGATTGAACGCCCTTAGACTACTTCCTTTGGTGACATCTTAAGTCCATTGTTTAAAAAACACAACCTGCTGATATTGAGGATCTTAAAAGGCGAATTGCAGCAGAATGCAAAAACAGACTTAATTATTATTTACCGGAAAATTGACAACATTTGAACAACTTATATTATGTTGCCTAAGTAGGTCACATAGGTGGGAAGTTTTCAAATTGACACTGTACCTATATGTAGATCAAATAATTGTTGATTGCTGACTTACCTACCACTAGACGACCCTCTTAGACACTCTGTGGACAACTGAAAGAATGTTTGAAAATTCCGCGGTGGTGATGGCGGTATTGACAAGATCCAAACGCCCACAAGTGGCTAAATTATAACCTCCCTTTAACTACTCAAAACTGAGATTTATTTTGTTTAGTTCTACTAGTTTTTGGCGAGCCTTTAAGCAGATAGAATCATTGAAATGACAGTTTTCCAAAAATTTACAAAAAATAAAATTCTAATTAATTTTAATTTTTTTGCCCTGCCAACCGCATGGCAAACGAATTCCTCCTTGTCTATCACATTAGGACTTTTCGGAGGGTCTGCAAATTTTTTCTCGTTAAGCTGCAACACCAAAACATTTTTCATTTGGTATTTGTCTGTTACCTATTTTTCTTATTTTTAGTATTTCGAGCATCAATTCGGCCCTTTGGCAAACAGTTGAAATTTTTGGGCAAAATTTCCTGGTCCCTTTATAAAATTTTCGTGTTTCTTTTTTCTGGCAACTTTTTGGTGCTAAACATATTTGAATGCTGTTGGTCGTGTCATTTTCAGATAATTCCAGCGTTTCGATCGATTTCAGAAATTATAAAGGCGGAAATCGCATCTACTAATATACATGATAGTTTCAATACATTTTACTTAAATAAAAACATGGTAACAATATGCGCAACGATATAAACAAACAAAATTAAATTTAAATAACCATTCTAATGTTAACTTAGCAGCAGTCTTTTAATTAAATTAAAATTTTCAGACCGTAAAGTTTGCACTGAAGTTCTTATTTCGTTAGAAATATAAAAAATTATTTCCTAAAGTTCTTCGATTGTATTCACTTCTGGTGAATATACCGTACTTTTTAAATGGTCCCAGAAGTAAAAATCAAGGGCGTTTAAATCGGGATATCTAGAAGGCGAGTTTATAGGAGCTTCTTGACCCCTAGCAATGCATTGCGGGCAAACTAGTGCCCTTAAGAAAAAACAATAAGAGATAAAAAAATTGCTAAATAACTTGTAGTAATTGAAAAAATTATGTTGATAAAAGTTTGTGCACAAAGTGATAAAAGTGCACACAAAGAAGTTCTGAACAAGACAAATGTAGGAGTTCCACAAGTCTACCCTGTATAAAAGTAAACTGAACTACAAAACACTACCATAGAATGGCTTTGAATTATCTTATAATACGTACCAAAATTTAAGTTCCCAATGTTTAACCGTTTTAAAGAAAAACAACAAAAACTAATATTTTTCGCCATTTTGGAGATCAAATATCTCAAAAATGAGACCTCAAATTAAAAAAGTTCTCAGGAAGACCTCCTAGTCATTTTAGAGGAGCTAAAATGACTAGGAGAACACGCTGCTAAAATATTTTGACATATTTATGGCACACACCCTGTATAAACGGTATATTACGGACAACACCCTGTATAAATAACAATTATAAAGAAAATCAAACACAATTTTAGTTTACACTTTAGTTACTACAATTAGTCGCTTCTGTCTGCTGCACGCTAAGGATAAGAGAAAACAAAACTTTTTGTTTAATTTAGCAAAGTTCGGGTTGCACTCGCCAATTTGACTTTATTCGGAAATGTGCAGGATTATTGATTCAACGTTGGGCACCTCGTTTAATTTGAAATTTGGAGCAAAATATTAAATTCAAGAGATGCAGATAATAACGTCTAGTTTAATTAAAGGTAATACTAATTGGCACAGGGTCTAAAGTGGCAGGCCAAACTTATATTTTTTAGATGAAATGCCCCACTTTTTTGCATATTCGAATGCCTGAAATTTTTCGTATCGTTCGAATATGCAATAAAAAGTGCGGTATTTCATTTAAAACAATGTAAGTTTGGCCTGCCACTTGAATTTCAAAGGAACACTACT